TTGCCACTGCCTGTAGGATGAATTCCAAATTCTTTTGTACGCATTGAAGGCCCGTCACTTCCGGGACCAGCCTGCCCTTCCAGCCACAGCTGAGTCCTGTCCCTACCCCTCAGATGTCTGTCTCTCCCTCCATGTTTATCCCCACCTTCTTGTAGCACCCACAAGGAAAGCCCCTTCCTCGGCCCCAAGTATCTGCTCACATGGACCCCTGACTGCAGAGCCCACGCTGGCCCAGCACAAAGGCGGATCTATCTCTGAGGCCTTGGGCAGGATCAACTTTTCATCGCCTCTGCCCTGGGAGGACTTCATTCACAGTCAGGGAAGTCGGTTAGGGGAGGCCAAGACAGAGGTGGGGGCTGACACAGAAGAAGGGGTCCTCTGCTGTTGGTGATCAGATGGGGATTAGGGTGGAGGGAGGGTGACACTGCTGCTTTTCCTTCACCCTTTCCAGAGGAAATGAGGCTGTACAGCTTCCTTCCCTCAGTTATTATGACATTATCATCTCTCAGTGCAAGCCCGGAAGTCCTTATCTAGGTCTAACTTAAATTTTCAAGCTGCAGTTCAAGGCCGGAGTCCTGCTATAGCCAGTGTCTCCTTGGAGGATTCAGTACATCCTCTTGCCAGCCTGCTCCCTCCCTGGCACCTTTCAAGCTTCTAACTAATCCCTGGGAGCACCCGCCCACTCCTGTTCTCTGCACCCCATGCCTGAGCAGCATGGCAGGGAATAGCGATGCCCAGCACTGCGTTGTTTATGGTGACTCAGACAGAACACAGAGAAAACCACAGGCTGATTCCTATGTTTCCTTTACTCAATAGTTTCCAATTCACTCCTGAAGCACCTGACCTGCTTCAAGGTACATCTCCAATTTCCCTACTAAAATGTGAAGTGGCACATCAGCCCCAACCTGGCCAGCTGTTCCTACAGGAGCCCATGTGAGCAGTTGGACCCCAATAGGGGTAGGTGATGGGGACCTGGAGGGAAAAGAGCCCACACCTTCACCCAGCCCTCCAGGCCTTGGGCTTCTGTCCCAGAACTTCGAATGTTCATTCTAGTTGCACCCAGAATCACAGCTGAGCTGTGCCTCACACGTTCAAATGACACATTAGACTTCTGAACACGAGTCACACGTCTAGCCCAACAGCCTCAGTCTTTGATGGAGGGGAAGTTCAAGAGGAGATGGACACATCAGAAAGTCACACACGTGCATACTTGCATGTGCACATGCTCACACCCCCGGACAGTAATGTGCACACAATCGAACGTGTGTACTCCCATGTGTGCACTCAGGTACACAAACACATGCCTGTGTACACATCCTTTCACTACATGCAGGGACATGTGTGCACACAGAGACATGCAATGCACTCACACATGGACACTCACAAAGACAAGCCCTCCTGCATACTCACACAATACACAACTCACACAGACATGTGCTTTTACACACATGCACGTACCTACATTTGCCCAAGCCTCCCACAGTCACACATGTACACACACTTTCGCACAATGCCATACTAACACACATGCATCCATGTGCACACTTGCACATACATGCCCTTCCATATTCACATCCACATACACCTGTACACAAAGGCATGAACAGGTGCTCACGCTCACACATGCTCACATACACAGGAACATGGTTGAAGGCCAGGTCTTGTCCCTCTGTGTGGTAACTGTTAGCTGTGAGCTTGGATATCTGATTCCGCAAGCAGGCTGCGAACCTCTCTCTTCCTTAGCTTAAATCTCATCATTCTTTTTCTAGTCTTTATTTTCTTACCAATTTTATGCATGCATGTAAATAAAAAATGTATCAAAGAAAGTCATGGTTTCCTGCGACCCTTTTTATAGTCCTGAACTGCCCACAGAGGCTGTTACTTTCCCTTAAGCATGGACTCCTTCAGACTTTTTTCTCTACATCCACATAAGTTACACGCCCCTGCAGAGCAGATGTGCTGCAGTGTGCATGTGTCAAGTGTGCACACACAGAGTCAACCACAACTTGCTTTTCCACCCAAGATGTTGGCAGCCTCTGCCCGGACCAGCTCGGAAGCTCACTCAGTCTGTCATTCGAAGTTCTAGAGTGGAAAGGCCTATGCTTATCCACTGCCTACTAATAGACAGTGAGGCTTTTCACATTTTTCACACTTGGAAATTGGGCGGAGATGCCTCCCTGCCCAGGGCAATAAGAAAATCTGAGGGTCTTTCTAGGATGCGGGGGTCTTCCCTTCCTTCATGGCCCCCCTCTTAGACAGCCAGTGACTCACCCATTGCACCTGGGGCTAGCCCTTTGCTACTGCCCTCTCCCCTCTCCAAAACATGAGCTTTTGTGAAATAACACCTGCTGTTCCAAGTGCTTATTATGTGTGTGACAAGTTCCCCCACGATGTCCTCAAAACATCCCTCAGGAGCAAGGGATGTGTGCCTCAGAGCAGTTATGTCATCTTGATGCAGGCCACCCATCAGGAAGCACTGCTGGAATCTATACCCTCACCTGTTTGCCCTCAAAGCCCTGCCCCGTGAGGCCCCTGCCCACACAGGGCCCTGCCATGTGTGTGCTCCAGAAGCCTCTACCAAATGTGCTTAAACAGTCAGCTGTGTTTTTAAATCCCACACCTAATACCTACACAATGGGCATCACCCCACCGAGCATGCAGGGGGTGAGCATCTATCACAACAAAGTTCCAGGCTGGGTGGTGGGCATGCTGAGAAAAGTAAGGTATTGGATTGACCTCTGGGTAAGACAAACAGTGAGAATAGATGCTACAGGTTGGATTTTGACAGGTAAGCATAGTCTGTGAGGGATAAATAGGGAGGACATTCTAGACAGAAAATAGGGTATGCAAAGACAACTCAATAGACAGTGTTCCGAAATCAGGAGCCATGCAGAGTCTCAGAAGTGAAAACTCTCCTGTGGCTGAGGGTGGCAAATAGGTTTCACTTCGAATGCTGATCCCAAAGAGCTGCTATGGTGCAGTGCTGGGGAGACTCCAGGCCACATGCACGTTCAGCAGCAGGTTGCTTGGATCCACTGGTGCGAGGGCACAGGATGGGAGCAAAGGCAAGAAGCCAAGATCTTCCTTTCACTGACAAAGTCACTGAAGCTCACCAAAGGTGAGCCACCCCCGCTCACCCATGGAACTAGCAGAGGACTTTGTCCTTGGGGAGCTCGGTCACCTTGTATCTTCTGTTTGGCTTTTCCACGTGCTACCCCAACACTGCCTCTGTTGACAACTCTCTCTCTGAGCAGCTTTCTTTCCCTTGCTAGAAAAAAGGCAGACCTCTGCCAGCACTAGTATGTGAGCAAATGCCTGCAGAGGCTGGGGAACTTGGAAAAGCATGTGCACATACAAACACATGTACACGCACACACAGAGTGGTGAGCTGCAGGGGAGGAAGGCACCATGAGAAGGGCACAGATAGCCCCAGCATCAGTCAGGCAGCTGGTCAGCAGGCAGCTTAATTCCCTTGGCCTGTAATTGTTGAAGGTAAGTATCTCTGAACAAGAGAAAAGAGCAAATTCAGACTCATAGAGACCTGACTTCCAATCCCACTTTGCCACCACCTGGCTGAGCACTCCCGTTTCTGAGCACTTCCACGGTTATCACAGTCATCACTGTCCCTGTTTTACAGACTAGGACACTGGGACTGAGAGGTTAAGTGACATATTTGTCACCTCCACAAAATGGGACAAGACCGGCATTAGTCGCATGAGCTTCTTGAAGAGGAGGCCCCGGTACTAAGCGCCTGGCAGAACAGCTACATATGGTGACGGTCAGTACCTGTGTTTTTTTTTTTTTTTAAATGTATTAACTGCATCTTGATCTGTTCAATGAATGATTTAAATGGGTTTTGATTTGTTAGCCTTGCAGAGTCACGCACATCAGATTAAACCACATATTTTGATAAATTGAATAGAAATAGAAGCTGAATAGAAAATGCTCCATTAGAAAGGTTAGGTAAAGTAGGGAAGTGAGATAGAGAAGTGCCCTTTGAATTGAGACTAACTGGAATGTTACCTGCACTAAAGAAGGCCAGAGAGCCATTTTATTTGGGGCTCAAATGAATGAGCGTTGTTCACACTGTTCGTCTGTCATTAGCACACGAACGAGATGCAAACTGGGGGAGCGCAAGGGCTGAAAATAATCTATCCTCTCGGGTAGGTCCATGCACACCTCCCACACACACAGTTTATTTACTAATCCTTGCTTCCCAGTGCGGGCGAGGCATTCCAGGGCTGAGCACAGCTCCGGCAAGTTCCAGGCTGGCCGTGTCCACATTAATCAGACCTCTTTGGATCAAAGTCCTTGGAGCACAATGACTCAGTTTCCGGAAACAGTTAATAACCTTCTTCCTTCAACTCAATTGTTCTAACCTCTTTGAGGGCTGGCTCTCTGTGGGGTCGGGGAGGACTGTACAAGTTTCCTGACAGGGAGAAGCCGAGACGGGCTCTGAATGAATCCCATGGGAAGAGGACTGAAGGTTGTCATAAAAAATAGATGTGACACAATAAATGCAGGATGTTCCCTGGGGTCTTAATCTCTTCCTTCAGAAAGTCTGAACGACCCTCCTGCTGTGCTGTTGTGCGGTAGAGAGGTGAGTGCGCGCCCATGTTTGTGTGTGTGTGTGTGTGTGTGCCCGCGTGTACGGACACACATGCTCAGACATGCATAGCATGCTCGCTTCTACCCCAGTGGTAGGACTGTCCAAAACCAGAGTCCCCAAACTGCGAATGTCTGACCCATCAACAACACTCCTCTTCCGTCCATTCTCAGGCAGGCGTCTTGTCTTGCCCCTGCCAAGTTTGGTGAGCCCAAGAAAAGTGGGGTGAGTCACCTGTGCCGGGGTGTCTGCTGCCAGCATGACCAGAGAGTGGTGGTAAATACCAAGCTCTGGTACTTGTCTGTTCTACCTGGCACACTCCAGTCACACCTCCAAAGTTACATCGGGACTTCTGCACTCAGCAGTAGCCTGTGAAAGAATTATGTCCTCCACTGAGAAAACAATGTTTATGGTTTGAATTTGAAAAACAGAACACAACAAAACTGTTTGAAGGCATTTAAAGACCACAACAAACCAGGAAACTGGAACCTGAGGGCCAAGATTTTGAAGAGAAAGGGGCTGTGGGGAGATGAGTGTTCCTTCTTGGAACCACTTTTCCTCTTGGAGTTTTTGTCAATTCCTGGTGCACAGGAAGGGAAATCGAGAGTGAGGCAAACTACTTCATTAAAAAGGTGGAAGCCAACAGGACTTCCGGTAATCTCACCGGCAGTGGAGAGACAATGCAGTTTTGGAGCCCAAAGCTACCGAGGCAGCAAGGACTTGAGGGATCAGGATTCCAGAGAGAAGGGAATTAAATATTGAGTCAACACTGTTGTTTTCCTCTTCTATGGCGTTTGTCAGATTTTTGAGCCACTTAGAAGGCTAAGAAATTAAGTAAAAAGCCAGTGAAAGGCAGGGTGGAATTTTAGAAGTCTAATGGTGCCAAGGAAGCAAAAACAGGGGTTTAGAACTCACCTAGTTCTGAGAGGAGTTCTGGAAAGTCATACCCAAGGTACAGGGGTGAATCAGGAGTAGCTTGAGTTTTACCAAAACCACAGGCAAGCTCAGACCACATGGGATTGGAGGGTCTGCCTTCTCTCAGGTGGTCATGAACGATTAGGGTGGAAGAAAATGGTCTTACATAATGAGGTTTCTGGTCAACAACAGATAATGGTGGACCCTGTATACAGCCTAGGTGTGTGGTAGACTGTAGCACCCAGGTTTGTGAAAGCACTCTCGATGACACTCACAGTGACACAGTCACCTGCCAACACATTTCTCAGAAAGTATCCTCCTCGTTGTTAACCCAGGTGTGACTGCATACTCCAAAGCCTCTGCACTTTCTCTGTACAGTGCTGGCAATCAATCGAGAATTACCAGGAGTATAAAGAATTAGGACCAGATGACTTTAACATACCATAATTAACATGCTCAGGAAAATAGGGAGCAAACCCCAGTATTTCACTGAACTAGTATTTCACTGAACTAGTAAAATGATATTTCAGGGCTTAGGGTACAAGAAAAATCTCTATGTGGTTACAATTTCCTGCGTGGTCTGGCTTCCGCTGACTTCTTGATTCTTCATCCTGTCTCTGGTGTCTCTCACTTTGTTTGTTACTCTTCAGGCACACTGGCTTTCTTTTACTTCTTTGAATATAGGAAGTAATTTCCTGCTCCAGGGCCTTGGCACATGTGGAGCCCTCTGCAATACTCTTTCTCCTTGTTTCCTCTGGCCAACTTCTAATCATCCTGCAGGAGTCAGTTTAAAAGTCACTCCCATACAGAATCTGCCCCCAAAGTCCAACTCCAAGCTAGGGTCCTTGGGTATGTGTTTGTCAATTAGGCCTCATTTTCATCCCTAGCTAATTACCATGTCCAACAATCATGAAGGAAACTGTAATTAATTTCAAAATATTTGTCACTCCTCGAATGCTGTAAGCTTGCTGGCAGCCACTAGAGCCGGGTAGTTTATCATATCGCCTATTTACCAGGTCCCCGGCATGGTGCCTGGTTATCAGTAGGTACCCTGTCCAGGTGTGGTGAGTGAATGAGCAAAATCGTGCAGATCCAATTGAACACTAAGTGATTCAAATAACTGCCATTACAAATAGCAGCCTCACTGACACCCCCAGCAAGGCTGATATCCCCGGTCTGCTTCCCACATGGTATCTCACCCAGCATTAAAGGGGTTGTCCGCTCTGCTTTGTTGAGGAGGAAATCAGAGGGGTGAAGTGACTTGCCCAAGGGCACAAAACCAGTAAGAGGCGAGGCTGCAGTCTGCCTGACTGGGAAGCCCAGGCAGGCCCTTGGGTGGCCCCCTCCTCCTGGGCCTGTCTTTTACCCTGAGAGCCTTTAGGGACAGTGAAGAGGTGAAGATAAATAGTGAGGGACAGTGGCCCTGAAGCAGCCGAAGTAAGCTGAACTCCAGCCTGGAAAGCAACCCGCTGTGAGGGAGTCAGCAAGCCTCTCTAGCCCCAGCCCTTCCTCTGTGAAACAGAACCAACAGCAGCATATAAGAGCACACAGATGAAGCGCCTGGCACAGCACCTGGCACTTAGTAATGGACTTAGTACATGGCAGTAAGTCTAACCAAGGGATGGCACAAACAAACAAAAAGCCCTTATACTTTGCTCAGATGATGCCATTTTTCTTTTGCATTTAGAGGACATAAGGACAAGAAAGGATATGATAACATAGTCAAATTCACTAAGCCAGGGCACCCAGAGGTTGGGGCCCCACCCTGAGGCAGAGGTTAAGTGGCAGGCAAGGAAATGCCCTAGGCTTTAAAGCTGTCCCCTTCTCCCCAGAGCTGCATCCCCTTGGCAGGTCACCCATGTCCAGGTGAAGGGCACGGCATTTTGGAGCCAGTACCACTATCCCAAACACAGCTCTGGTGAGCAGGGGCCACACTGGTTCTGCCTCCCTCCAGGGATCACCTTCCTGGGTGGCTGTCACCCAACTGCCTTGTGGGTGTGCCTTCTTCCCATCCTCTCCCGCCTCAGCCCCCGGGAGCTAGATGAGTTAGCGTCTTATCTGCGAGGGCAGGGGTTCTGCTGGAAGGTTCCATTCCCAGGGCTCCCCGCAGCTCATGTGGGTGTGCTCACTCACACTCAGGCCCTCTGGGTCCCAGCAGGCAGGTGCGAGAGCTTTCCTGTCTCCATCTGCCTGCTGGAAAGTTCTCTCTCTCTGAGTCTCCTCTTACTGTTCCGCATTTCAAATTTCGAGGTAACGCTTCTCTTCCCGGCCTATCCTGCAGTCAGTTCCACCGCATTCCAGCTTCAGATGTCCGTGCCACTCCCCAGGTCTGTGCTGAACGTACATCTGTCCCTGCTGCCTTGACTGGCGCCTCACACAGTTCTCAGCAGCAGCCGTCTTTACAAGCAGTTTGTCACCTCCTCATCATCCAAGCCTCCCTCTGACATTTCCTTCTCGTGGTGCCAAAGTCAACCCCTCACCCTTTTGCACAGTGACAGCTTTGCCTGGGGAATCACCCACTGCATTTCTGGGGCGGACACTCCTACAGGGGAGGGGGGTGCCAGAGACCCTGGCGATTTCTGAAGATGCTCTAGGTCCACAGAGACCATCTGCTCACAGAGGACCAAAGCATGAGCCCAGCTTTCCCTTCCCCTCCAGAGCCCCACAGGCCTGCCTGGGACCTGCACCCTGACCAAGCAGAACTGCACCTGCAATGGACACACCTGCTCTGCCTCCCGTTCCCTGAGGCTCTGGCTCAGAGGCCTCCCCTGTCAGTGCAGGAGCACAGCAGGCAGGACGGACACCAGCACTCAGCACTGGTGAGCCAAACAAATTGTCCGTGTCCTGAGTCCTATTGGGGCAAAACAAGGGCCCCAGTTCTGCTGAGCCCCAGCCCTACTGGGGGTTAAGCAAGGGCCACCCTAGGTGTTGACAGGCAAGAGTGTGGCTGAGAGCCAGGCATGTAAAGGTTGCCCAGCGGGAACAGGCTGCTCTGAAACCACCTCTGTACAAGGAGGAGTCATAGCACCCCTCCCCTGACTCCCCTGGGGGCCGCAGGACACCGGGCCTGGAACAACCCTGCAGGCCTGCCGCATAGCCCCCCTCCCTTTTGCCAGAGAGGGAGCCAATTACAAATGACCAATGGCTGCTTCAACCCAGGTGAGAGGACTGAGGAACAGATGGCCATCTGTGTTGTTAGATAATTTTGAAATTAGGCAGGTGGTGGCAGGTTTCAAGCCACATGTGGGAACTTTTACAAATATAGGCTTAAGTTTATGAAGAAGAAGAATAAACACACACTTACTTTAGCGTGCCCTCAATTTTCGTAGCCATCTCATGGAATTGCTGTGAAGATAGTTTGTACATCTCGGCATTCTGCAAAGAGAAAAACAGACTGGTTACCCCAGATGGAAATTTCCCTCTGGCTCCCTCCAGGGATGCAACCACCTTAGAAATCGACAGATGTTAATTTCTTGACCAGCATCAAAGCAGACTGCTGACTGATCAACTCCCACCATGGATCCACCGCAGCTACAGAATCCTAGAGAAACACAGGCTGAAGGACATGGGGATCCTCTGGTTCAGAGGCTGGTAACTCATGAGCACGACTGGCCTGCCACCCGATTTTGTAAATAAAGTTTCATTGAAAGACAGCGATGCTCATGATTCATTGACACACTGCTTTTGGCTAGGCTTGCAGAGTCAATAGTGTCAGCAGAGACTGGATGGCCCATAGAGCCTAAAAGATTTCCTGTCTGTAAAGAAAGTTTGGGGAGCCCTGATCTATTATTTTATAGACAGATTCTGCTGCCCAGAGAGGTGAAGCAACTTGCCCGAAGCCACACAGCCAAGTGGGTCTTGTAAACAGGACTATAGGTGTCTGATTCCCAGTAAGGCTTGTGCTCCGCTGCCCACCTCAGCCACCACACTCAAGGGCACAGCAACTATCTTTCCTGAGCATGGCAGGGAGGTGCCAGAGGCAGGCACTTCCATCCTGCCTGCCAGGTTGGCATAAGGGATGGCAAGGCTTGGAACAAGACAGAGCTGGGTTGAAGTCCTGGGTCCACCACTGTGTGACTCTAGCTAAGTCACTTGACTTCTTTGTGCCTCAGAGGTGAGTGACAACAGGCCATACAGGCCTGGAACCCCACATTCTCCCCTTGTTTCTGGAGGAGACCAACAGAAAACATACCTGCTAACCAACCCCCAGCTGTCACCACACTCCAAGTGGAGCGTTGAGTCCTCATGTCACAGACCTAAGCTAATTTCCACTTTGGGAGGTGCTAGCTGTGCTCTTTGGGTACTTGCTTGAGCCTTATTCCTGGGCAGATGACAGGGACTCCCACCCACCACCACATGCAGAACGGCTGAGGCACCTTAGTGCAGGGTGCCAGGCTCCCAGTAGTGACCACTGCCATGTGACTACCACAGAACTTTCTGAAGCTCACGTGTGTCCTACCTAAGACCCCCCTCCATCCTGGTCTGTCTCCTTTCCCACAAGGAGGCCTCAAGACTCAGGCCCTCAACAATTTGGAGAAGCATCAGGCCGCTGTCTTCCAGACGCCATGGCTTGTCAGTATCTCTTTCCAAGGGAACACTAAGGCCCACATGTGGCCCACATGTGGCCTAGCGGGCTGAGAGGACTCTCAGCGCCTTTGCTCTGACGCCACATCCCCAAGCACACAGCCCGACCTGTGTGTACTTGGGGAGCGGCTAGCTGACACTTGGTAACTGCAGACCAAGTGTGTGGTCAGCTAGATTGTCACAGGAAGTGCCCACAGGCCGAGAAGTGGCTATGATTACCCCACTGCAGCTTCCTCTATTGTTTCTCCAAATGACTCAGCGGAATTCCCCTTCCTGCCCCAGCCCACCCTCAGTGCTGCCTACAGTCTGAGCAGACCCCAGGATGGGCCACCACAGCTCCTGGACACACAGAGGTCCCGCTCACAGCAGTATGGGCTGAGCTTTCCCCTAAGGTTCATGACTCTCGACCCTCACATCCACCAGGCCTCCTGAGGCTGCTGGAGGGAACCAGGTTCTCTGCTGGGAAAAGCAGCCACTCTGAAGGCTCCTGGATCACGCCACCATCAAGGGGCCTTGAGAATCCACTGAGTGCCAGGGGATTTGGAGAAAAGTGCTCCTGTCCCGTGGCCTCTCGTGACTCAATGTCATGAGTACCATGGGACACTCACCCAGTCATCCCCAGGTGCCATGGGGGCAACCAAGAGGACTGCCTGGCAGGGACCTTCAGAATGGCTTCTTTGGAGCTGGCACCTGAATTGAGGTCTAAATTCTATTTCACATTAAGTAATGCTTTTGAAAAAGCATTTGACTGAAAAAGACATAAGCATCCAGAGGGGAGGCGAACACAACCTCCAGGGTCACCCCAGCCCCCACACACTGCCCTCCTCCACTGTGCACGGTGAGCTCAGCCACACACGCCCACTTCCCTGACACATGCTTTGTCCGCCAGACAGGCCACGCTGCTCCTTACTCCATCACTGGCTTCGGAGGCCTCGCCCATCTGCCCACGGAGTAGTGGTCCACTGCAGGCCCGCCCGCCCCAGCTCACGTTAGCAGTCCCACCCCCTCCTGTCTTCCCTGCTACCAACAATGCTGAAAGGCACATCTTGGCATCTCTAACTTGTGCATTAGTGAGCGTGTCTAAAGGCTACATGCTAGAAGTCAAACTCTCGGGTCAAAGGGCACTCTCACTTTTAATGAGCCGAGACTTACAAGATGAGCAGAAATGAGACAGTAATGGGGGGGGGGGGTCCTTGTAAATGAGGCAGCAGCCTCAGGGGCAGCGAGGGGCACCACATGGCAGATGGTAAAGTTGCACCAGGAGCCAGGATGAGGGAAGGGACTGGAGAGAAAGGCAGCCTGGGTCAGAGAAAAAGTCTCTCAGCCGTAGGCTATAAGCCTGGACCTCAGTCCACAGGCAATGAGGGGTGGACAAGATTTTTTAAGCAAAGGAGTGTCAGGATGGATCTGTATTTTAGGCAGAACACTGGAGCAGCTGTGTGGAAGATGGAGTGCAGTACCAGGAGAGCACCTGGAATCCCCCCGCAGGATAATCCCACAGTGCTGGGGAAGGCACGGCCTGTGCCTGGAAGGAGTCCTGGTACCCACCTCTGAGTAGTTGTGGGGTGCTGGCTCTGGAAGGCAGGGCTCCATCCCCAGGCATTAATGAGCACCCAGTGATCGTGAGCTATTATTTCTGGCTGATTTCTCGTCCCATTAGGCTCCTGAGAGTCCCGATTTGGGAGCCCTTTCCTCGCCCTGCAGACAGCCACCCCTCCCCCTTCAGCTGCTCCGCGTGCACATCTGAAACCAGAAGACCTGATCTCCATTAATTAAATCTGCCATTAAAAATTAAATAACGTGAATAAGAAGGTGTGAGTGTTATCTCTATGGGTTTCAAAAGTCACAGTGTTTCTTCAATTACTTCCCAAGCAGTTTTCATATTTCATACTGTCTGATTTCTCCAAGGGCCTGGATTTGTGAGATCAAAAGAGAGCGTGAGGGTGAGGGGAGGCAAGGCGCTGAGAGGGAGGACAGGGAAACACGTGCAGGCCTAGGAATGGTCCTGCTGCCCCACAGTAGCCTGGACGGGGGGGGGGGGGGGGCAGGGCAGGGGCAGGGCACTCACCCACTAACCCCAAACACGAGTGAGGGGCCCTGAAGGCTCAGAAGGGAGCGACTTTGGGTTCCGGCGCCCTGAGAGACACGCACCCGTGTGACCACATTAGTTACATCCTGTGTGCACAGGCAGAGGTGCAACCACGACGCACTTAGTCTGGCAGCAAAGACAGCATTAGGCCTAAGGAGCATGCCAGGGCCTGCGAGTGGCAGCAGGACCGGTGAGGAAGGATGTGGAGCTCGAGTCACACAGGGGTACCTGAGCAGAGACCCAGCAACTACGGATTGTTGGTGTGTCCACCACAGGCCCGTGTGAGGCTGCTGTGCCTGCCTCCTCCGCTTCTCAGCTATAGAACGAGAACAGTTCCCACCACCAGCTTGGTGGGAACTGGCAAAGCTGCCAAAGAGATAATGCGTGCAAAATGCTTCGAACCAGTGGCTGGCGCAGAGTAAACACTTTTATAAATGTTTTAAGAGCTTAACACCCAAATGTATATTAACCAACAAATATACTTGGAAGTGAGATCTGGGAGCATTGAAAGAGGGAGGCTACCTTAAAGAGAAACCTTAAGGAGGAAAAGGAGGGATTTTCACCTGTTTTGCTCGCTGATCCCAGCCCAAAGCCTCGCCCAGCATAGGCCCTTGATGAAAAGTTGCTAGGTAAATAATGGGGGGCTCAAGGCACCGGAGGGACCTGAAAACATGACAAGGACATGCTTTGCTGAGCTGCCACTCGGCATCAGGTGCTGTGTGGGCACTCAAGACAGAGCCGGCAGGGACACAGGCCAGCCGTGGGTAACACAGGGTGTAGCCGGGGCCCAGGGGAGGTTGGGAATTGGGCCTGGAGACCAGAGGGCTGCGGTTGAGATCAGAAACTTGAAACTTTTTCCCCAAAGTGAAAGCATTTTACAAAATGCTTTGAGAGCTTGCAAAAGCAACTCTGCTGTGGCGACAAGCACCGTACAAATAAAAAAGGGACACCACGCCCACAGGATGGCCCTCCTGGAGACCCGCCCTCCAGCCACAGGACAGCCAACCTGATCCAGCCTCCGGCCCCCGGGAAGGTCCTCCCTGAGACTGGCGCCCCTCTCAGTCCTGACCCCAGATTTTACCATTTCCCTGCCTCCCGTGTCTTTTCATGCCTTCAACTCCCTGACACGCCTGAGCCTCAGGGTCTTCACTCCCTTAGCGCCTTTCTAACATCTGCTTCCTCTCTCTTCAGCTGCACCCACTCTCAACCCCTCTTGTCACACACTTAGCCCTTGCGGCAAATGCAGGGCTCCAACCGCAGGTGACCCTCCCAAAACTTGTCATTCTTGACATTCCAGGCCGCTTCCCTGCCCATACTCCATGGCAGCTATGTGATCTCACCCATGAGCCAGCCCCGAATTCCTGCTGTGCCTCCACTTCCGAGGCTGCTGCTGGGAACGACACACATATTTCCTCCATTTCCACGTTCATTGCTGCCACGCCATAACCCTTCATCCTCAGTGGCCAGTTCCCCACCATCTGTCCAGGTTCCAGGGTCTGTAGTGACACAGGAAGGTGACTCCCTCTCCCTGAGCCTGTGTCTTTGTAGGTCCCATGGGGAAAATGCATGCCTACCTTTTAGGGGTGCTCTGGCCATGCAATGATTAAGGGGTGCAAGCATGCTTAGCATATTGCTCAGCATATCATACAGCTCATTTATTCTTCATTCATCCAGTAGGTATTTATCGAGTGCCTACTGGTTA